TAACAATTTTGGTGCCATGACATTTTTGACCATAACATTACAAAACATTTATATTTACAATTACTTTACTTGCATTTCCTGAACCAATTTCAAATCATTTATATTCAACAAAATTACTTAATTTAAAGAGTTACGATGTTGCTTCATTTAATAGAAAACCACGCCAAAGTTTCCTGTGCACAATCTCTGACACTAAAATTGAATCTAAATGAATCAGAAAAGGCTAACTGTTAGTAAAAATAATATAAACCTCGCAGTACATAAAAATAATATATATGCTGAAACATTATGAATAATGAAATCAAGTTGTATATGCTTTCAATACTACCATATGTCCAGATATTTTTATTAGAAAAGAAATCATTTAAATAAAGCAAATTATTGTGACGGAAGTTTACATTTTGCCAGCTTCAGTTGTACTATTTCTTGCGACAATTATGTAAAAGAATGAAAGGAAACTATCCATTAGAGTCTCTTCATTAAAAAATTATGTAGTTGTCATAGTATTAGAATTTTAGAAGTAATTCCAAGATAATAACGATAATAAACTTTCACCTGAAATTTCCATCTGTCATATATATATGTAATATTTTAAAGCGTAGGGAAAAGCATGAACAAGACGTTAACAAAACTAATTTCGGTGAATCACCATCTTTTTACACATGTCAAATCATCTCTTTGGCAGAAAAATTATTTTTCAATCGTCATTGAATATAATCAATTTTTATGTACACTGATTTTAAAAATACGACGTACGTAAGCAGGAAAGCAAGCGTAAGCAGCGTGGGAGATGTTTGCATAGTAAAAGACGTTCCTTGTTCCTGACTTTCTCTTATATAACGCGATTATCCTGCGAATAAGCACGATGTTTCCCGGCTCTCTGATGTAATGTCGATGGGAACTCCGAATTAATGAGCCCTGGCCAGGCGTAGAGGCAAAGGTACGGAAGAGGGCTTGACCATTGTTACGTGATAAGAAGCATTTCTGTTACATTTCGTTTGATTGGTCCATGAGACTCGCAGGTTGGTATGCATTGTCACATGATGAGGAGAAGTCATCTGACAGGATCTTGCAAACATCTTTAGTTGTTAGGGGCGTAGTTCCTCGCGAAGCCGTATTTATACTGCGGAGGTGCTTTGTTAATTTTTAGTTTTAGTTACCTTTTTCAAGCAGTGTTATGTAATTCGAAAACATCTCGAATTTAGGAGAACAGATGAATTTAGGGGGAGAGCACCAAATCTAGAGCAGTTAATCGTATTTTGTTATATCTTACATATATCTATATTGCATTTAAAAAAGTAAACAGGGAGATATATTTTCTTGTTATTAGCAGCTATAATACAGCATCTACATGGATCAATCTTAGATGCGATTCATATGTAGATGTATTAGGAACATTCTTAGTAATATGTATGTAATGGAAAATAAAAATGTGCTTCCCCCACCTGCTTGTTGCTATTAGCACAAAATCAACAGAGGTCTTCAGTGACTTGGAATGTTATTCTCAGCGATAGGCTGGCAAGAGTTCATGTAACTAGAAGCGCTGAAGTTATAAATTCGAGGAACGTTTCCGAGATTATGCTAGTATGACATTCGAAAGAAGAATCATTATCACAGTGAAATACAATAGCAGACGAAATTTCCTTCTGAAAGAAAAGACGTTTAAGCATCGGTGCGTGTTACCAAGTAAAACATGTGATTTGCTGCTGAAACAATGTATTTTATTTTTAAACAATATATGAAATTTTCAGCATCAGTCTAGAAATTCTGATGTTCTCTGCACTTAGAACTCATTGCGCTTACCATTCTGCATTAGAATCTTCCACAAAGCAGTCGGTTCCGTATCATGCTTTTAATTACTTCTGTTAAAGGACATAATCGTGTCTGGAATCTAAATAAGTAAGGAGCTCTGACACATGACCCGATGAATCCATCCCAAGTAGCACATGACGTAGCAAAGACGTTCCAAACTGGTTCAAGAGGTTGCAATGGGGTCGTGGTAACGTCTTTACTACGTCATGTGCTACTTGGGCATGTTCTCTCCTTTTACCACAAACAGCGCAAATGTGTGGAATACATGTATGCATTTACATGACATTGGTAGATGTAATTTTCATACTGGAAAGAAAACTGAGTGTTTCGCGTTATTTTTTAACCATTACGGATCATTTTATGCCCGTATTGAAACATTTCTCCATTAAGCAGCTATTCTTGATTAAACATGATATTACTCTCCCTTTCTGATCCGAATGTTGGACTTTCTCTCTAAAAATAAGTTGAACTTTTTGGCAGAGCAAAATATTATATTAATAAGGATCATATTAATAAGAAAAAATCATATTAATAAGAAAGATCATTTCCATTTTTTATCCTTTAACGATATATAAGCAATTTTATGTCCGTATAGCAAATGGTGGTTTGATGATGTGTTATACATTATTTACACCTGCAATACTGAACTCTAACGTCTTATTTAATTAAACTACGAAACGCTTTGTAGAGACATTAGGTTATTTCGAAGCAGGAGTCGTGAAAAACGAGCAATGCTCTTTCGCCGAGACTCGAACCACGGACCTCTCGAAATACGCGCCGAATGTGCTGACCACTACACCACGAAACCATGCTAAGAAGGTGGGAGAAATACCTTATAGCTTAATAACCATTAATAACATTACGAATAATAACAACACAAATTTAAGGGTCTACTATATGCATAGAAATAATAACGAGTTAGCTTATGGTCTTTCAAAAGTAAATATAGTTAATTGTTTGCATTGTGTGAACACTAACAGTAAGTGTTTGAGAGTTATTTCCGGTTTCGCGTTTCAGAACATTCTGCTTATTTATTCTGTTCGAAACATTTTGCTGATCGAATTAGTCACATCCATTTGCTTTTTCTGTTAAATTTTAAGTCATCTGTATCATTACGGTTGAAGACGATATCAGAGGAGTTGTGAAAGCATTGGTCAATAAATCCTCTGAAATCGAACCTTTTTTGGTTCAATGTATAAATTTCCTCCCGTCTGACATTTGTCGTACAGTTTTTGTATAACTTGTAATTTATTACTTCTGTAGCGTCCGAGCATTTCGTTTGATAGCTATTAATGGCCCGAGTATTTCGCGTCGTTGTAATTGTGTGGCAAACGCTCATGAACTCTTTTATCTTCATATCGATCGTCGCTGAATTATTACAACATTGATCTACAGTGATAGACATTTAAGAAAGTGAATTAAGATTTATATTTTGTGTATATAATGATGAATAAAAAATGTAAGAATCCATGAAATTTTAATATGTATTTTAGCAACTTTTTTATATTTTACAACTGCATATCTCTTACAAACTTTAGATGACATTATACTCAACCTTTAATTAAATTATTTGATGTATGAAAATATAAGAAATGTTTTAAAATATTTATATCTATTAAGACAAAATGTCATAATGTTCAAAACTACGATCAATGATTTACAATTAGGCTAAAAAACAACATAGAAGGGCGTAGATTTTGAACTAAACTATCGATTTCCAAAGTAATCAGACATTCATCTGTTTTCTTGAAAAGGAAAAACAGAAAAAGCATTTATATATGCATGCGTATACACACCATATTTATACGAAACTTAATTGACGAAGGAAAGCGGAAAAGGGGCATAGCGCTCATTTGATGAGAAAAATAGTAATGAAACTTCAAACCAATAAGATATTAAAAATTTGAAAGCATCAGGAAACTCTGAATTGAAAGTAATATCCTTAACCAAAGAAGATAAATATTTGTGAATGAGAAAGGCTTCAGAAAATCCAGTTCACAAACTGAACAAATTGAGGCTTTGTTGAAATTTTTGCAAAGCCAAAATGAAAAGTGTGGTTTTATTGTTCCTCAAATTTTTACTGTCCATTGAAATTTGTTTATTTCTCCTTTTTGAAAGCAGGATTTGTGTTTCTTGATGCGAAATTTTAATACTTTTTTACTTTACCCGATATATTTGAAACACACTGACACGATGTGCCTTAAATTCTTCCCTTTTCAGCGAAAATATATTATTCCTAGTGAAAAGGAAACTATGTCTATTCTATCTTGTAACCAAAACAGTTATTTTATTCAAAATTTATCCTAGTTGTTAAACTTTACATTGACGTGCTTTTTACAACTATAATCATCGAATACACTATTCTTTGTACGAAATGCATAATTGTACCTTCTCATGATCTCGGTATATGTCTCATTCATAATTTTTTATTTTATAGTATGGTAACAGGCCAGAGTATTACATGCATGCCAGAGATGAAATGGATATTCAGGCATTGAAAGAAGGCCATGACACTGGAAAATCCCCTAAAAGGACAAAAATGAAGCACTTTCAGTCCAATGATGGAAACAAGAAAGAAGTTGTAGCAAGATCCGCAAGTAAGCAGTTTATTATCCCTACTTAGTAATTAATGTAGATATGTTGAAATCCTTAATACCATAAGAGTTTAATTTGAATACTTAATCGGTTTAATTTTTAATTTAATGACATTTAATTTCTGTACTTACTTCGATACTTAATCAAGATATTTCTCATCTAATATTTTTCATAAAGTAACTTTCATGCTTTGAAATAAAAAAGCTCTGCGACGAGAATAACAATTGATACCAAATTGTATGCTGGTGTTTGCAGTTAAATGTGATTTGAAGTTCTTGAAGTTTTGTACAGTTATTAATTAGCTAATGATCTATATAACTACATCTACACTGGTGTGCAAAAATTAAGGACGAGACGGTTTTTTCAATTAAACGTTGTACAAAAGCGTTCCAATCAACCATTTAATACGAAGATCCCCATACGTAGGAAGATAATGTAAGCAACACTTACTACAAGAATCAAGGGATGAAAAAGCTTATGAAAAAGTAGCATGGACGCAATGCGACTGAAGGAGAAACATCCCTTGATGGGTGTCCGCATAAACATCCGGTCTTTATAGGGTATGATCTCCCCTACTGCTAGGAGGTTTCACAGCGTCGGCCCAGCGGAGAATGAGGGTTCAATGAGTTTGAGGCATTGCTGCCATGTCTTGCAGCGCCAATCGAACTCCGGAATCGTATGGTGGTAAGGTGCGAGTGCCAAGCGTCGTGCCTAGAAATCCCTACATGCTCGATGGGATTAGATCCGAGATCGTGCCGGCCAATCCTACGTTCAATATCTCACTCTCTAGAGCTGTTCGCAGTCTGTGCGATGACATGAGCTTGTCTCTAAAAGCGCCTCTAAAAAGACGCACAATGTAAGAAATCTCGTTCAATAAGGGTCCCGTTGACTGAACCTGGTCGAGATTGAAGGTCTTACGACGCCCAAGCATGAGCCTCCCCAACGAAACACTGCCACCTCCATACCTGCCCCTTTCATGTGTTCGAGGGATGATGCGGCTTCCCGCTCTCTCCAATGAGTATGCGATGAGAATCGCTCTCAGACGATCTGCTCTCATCTGTAGAGACTAGTCCCCTTCATCGTCTCTCCGATTCCGGTGTTCCCGCACCACATAGAACGCCTTCTCCGATGGCAGGCGTTAGAGGTACACACAGTACAGAGGTACAGGGCGTCGTGCAACAGACCACCATCGTGCAGTCTTCTGGCCACGGTAAACGCATATCGTCTCCATCGCCTGTGTCGTGTTCTAGCGAATTTCTCCCGCTGTCTGCCGCCTGTTTCTTCTCGCCTGTAAGGCAATGTACCGGTCATCTGCGGGTGTGTTCCTCGTGGACGACCATTACTAAACCTCGGATAGCTGTTCCTGTAGTTGAAATTGTCTCCAAGTCGTGAACGATGCTGTGAGCAATTCCGACTCTGCACCACACTTGTCACACTTGCGGCCTTCTCCAATTTCCCAATGATTCGACCTCGGTAAAAGCATCCAGATGTCGTCTACAGATTGATTATTCGCCATTTCTCGCTGAGGCAGCAAGTCGGTGTGATTTAACTGCTAACGGCGTGCATCTCTTTGCCGAAATACGATCTTACAACCGACAACATGTTTATACTACTCAGACACTCCCCCATTATTACGTCTAGTATCTCGCATGTGCTACCGTACATCACCTTACTTAACCTCCTGATGGTCTTTCTGTCCGCTCTGCCTCTTCGTTCAGCTGATATGCTAATTTTTTGACTTCGTCCTTAATTTTTGCACACCAGTGTATTTAACCGTCTCTTGTCTCCTCAAATTTTCTTCTTGGTACAAGAGGTAAATCGTAACTCAAAAGTTAAATAAAAGTTATGTCTTAAAATACAATTAAACATTAACAAAACGTAGCCATGCTTGCTTGTGAGGTCTCAGAAATTCAAATATATAAATTTTACAATAGAGAAATTAACATTCAGTAATTCTATTTCAGCTATCGTGGTTCTAGATTTGCTTGAAAACAAATAAAAAATCACTCTCCAGAAACGGCTTCCCCCCGCCCAGATCTGCTACAGATGAGCTTCTCGGGCATAAACAAGTGACTGGCAGTTTGCTCTTGCTCTCTCTCTAAACCAGTGTTTCCCAACGTGGGGCCTACGCCCCGTAGGTGAGGTTAAGGGGTCAAGTAACAATTAAATTTCCAAATTTTCTTTAAAGTCTAAATTTTTCCAAATTTCATTTTTTAATCCCAAAAAATAAAGAATAATGTAAGTGATGTATAAGTAAAAAATATTCTAAATTACGGTGCATTTTAAATTTTCGCTGTAGACAGGGACATAAGAAGAATTTTCGCTGTAGACATGGAAATTTAAATGCTTAGAAATTTCTTCATCAAACCTATCATTCAAGTTTCCTTCGTGAATATTTGAATTTTTGTATATTAAAAATTATGCATATGCTAGGGGAAGCATAAGACTTTTAGAGAGACTTAAATGGGGCATAGCACAAAAAGGGCTGGTAAGCATTGCTCTAAACTATCATATCGCTTTCTCTTTAGACAACCTAATTTCCATTCTTGGAATGGCTGACGTAAGAAATAGAAAGTTCAGAAAAGAACTGATATAAAAATAACATGTTAACTGAAATAAACCATACAACTTCACTAAATGAATTATATCTGGGATCTTCGTAATCTGAGAAATTCCATCTGTTTGTATAAAACATAAGCTTCTACTGTATTGACGGAGTTTGCATTAACAAAATACATATTTTGACTGCAATAATATTACGTACAACGTATGTTTCGGAATGTTTTTTTTTAATTCATGAAACAACAAGCTTTAACTCTTAACGCAATGATTTCTCTGTAAAATGTAGAAAGTTCACCTATCCAAAAAGTGTGGGTAAAAGGTACACATTTATATTAGGTGGTGAAATATTACATTTTGTTTCCAACGAGAAAAAATTACTACAAAATGTCACTAGGAAATGCTTTAAAATCTTGTTCCTTTTAACTAGATGCCGAGGACAAGCAACACTTTACAATCATGAACTGCATCTCAAACAACGAAGCGTTTTAAAAGCCGATATTTGCGTTTCTAAAAGAGCTCATATGGTTACTCAAATGTGTGCTTAAATAAAAAGCGTAATTAGGATTACAGTGAAAAGCAAAACAATGCATTCAAAACATACTTTTGTTAATAAATAAAATAACGTGTACATAAATTACATACATAAATCAAATGTTCAGTGAAATAAAGGATATTACAGGTTAAGACATTTATATCTAAATTTTTCGTAAAAGTTTAATGGTAAGAAATATAGAGGTAAAAATATTAAGAAAAATACACAGTCTAGCATCAGAATATTTATCAATTAAAAGCAAATCAGCTTTGTTTAAATGAACTAAAAACTGTTTCACTTTTTTAAATCAGAAGAAATTTAAAGGGAAAAGTTGATGACTTAATTATTGAACTAATAATATAACACTTGAATATATTAGTATACTAAGATAGAGTTTTCAATTTGTTAAAGTGGGACCACTTTTATAAACTAGAATGCTTTAGGGAAGCAATATTTTTAGCATATGTTACTACCAAAATGCTTAGATTTTTAAAATGCAACTAACTAGGATTAATTTAATTTTATATTGGCGGAGAGTAATTAAGTTAATAGAAGAACATTTATATTCGCTTTTAATTAATCAATTTGTTAGAGTTTGGATAATCTTCATCTTATTAACTAAAAATTAAACCAACATGGGTACTCACATTAAAAATACGGAAGAGACTGCCAATTCCTGCATAGTCATGCTATGTTTGTTTGTTCTATATTGTGTATATCTGGTATGATCTTCTTTAACTCATTGTTACAATTATATGACAACTGTCAATTGTACTGGAATCAACAAACATCTTGATTGAACTTCTGGATTTTATTACTACGATTTAGTACAAATTCCAGTACCTCTGAGTTATATGACTTGAATGTTGCATGAACTGCACAATACTTTGCTTTGGACACAACATTTAGTACTGGATCATGGAACATAAAATATGTTCATTTACACTGAAATTTGGACTCTAGAGATCAGGGTTACAGCCAAAAACACCGCGGCAAAAACATCGGGATGAAACCGTCGCGGAGAAAACAACGCAAGGCGAAGAACGTCGTGCTAAAACATTGGGAAGAAAAGAAAGCAAAGAGAAAACATCGCTTCTGAAACATCGTGGTACAAAATATCGTCGTCGAAAAAAAGCGGCTCAAAAACTTAGCAGTTTAAAAACATCGTCGTCGAAAATATTGTAATAAAAAATAAAGTATCTACAAATCATCGCATAACGATAACATCGCAAACATGTTTTTTTTTCAAATTTTAATAATTGTAAATGGATATCCCTATAATGATTTCTGAGCGCAACATGTAAAGAAGGATAAGTTTTGCTTTCATATTTTTTATTAACTAATAAATGTTTGCTTAGAAAGTAAGAAGGAAACGTAAGCATAGAAAATTAATGCAACTAAAAAAATGTGAAAATAAAAAATCACATAAAAAATGTGAAAATAAAAATTATCCTTCTTTACATCTTGCGCTCACAAATCATTATGGGAATATCCATTTACAATTATTAAAACCTGAAAAAAACATGTCTGCGATGTTATCGTCATGCGATAATTTGTAGCTACTTTATATTTTACCACGATATTTTCGACGATGAGTTTTTTAAACTGCGAAGTTTTTGAACCGCTTTATTTCGACGTCGATGTTTTGTACCACGATGTTTTAGAACTGCGATGTTTTCTCTTTGCGATGTTTTCTCCCACGATGTTTTGTAGCACGACGTTTTCGCCTTGCGTTGTTTTCTCCGCTACGTTTTCGTCCGTGATGTTTTTGCCGCAATGTTATCGGCGGACACCAGAGATCATACTTAATTCTTTCATGGCTATATACTTCATTTCAATAGCGTGCAGATTCTGAACGGGGTGTTGATCTTTACTGTTCATTTACTTGTGTTTTTCTATTATATATGACTGACATTTATCTATGATTTTCTACTTTAAACGTTTTGCATTTATTGTTACCATGTTTGTTACTGTAGGCGGCTGTCAATTCCTGTCTTAACTATTCTGGAAAATCTTAATATAATAACTTCAGGTGTATTTCTTCAACGTACGCAATATATACAAATAACTCTGTATATTGTACAAATGTAAACTTTGAAATTTGACTTTGACATTTTAGTGCCCGACTGATCTGTTTTGGCCCCGACCTAAGGTTGTGGCCAGTAGATAGTAGATGGTTTTACCTCCGAGTAATATATTCCGTTTGTTGCCTTTAGGCTAACTTAGGTCGAAAGTTGCTCAGTAGGTCAGTGTTGTAGCCATATTGCTTTTATGCTTCTTGATACTAAGATTAGAGTGGTAAAGTCTTAGAAACGGTAATCGGCAATAAATTTCATAAAATGTCAATCGTGGGAGAAAAGGCGGCAGAAGATTGAGATGTGTTACTTCAGTCTCCGAGATTTTCAGTTATAGTTTGGCATACGTAGCTAATCAGATTTTGCTTTTATTCATGAGAACTACTATTGCAGGCTTTATGGACCACTGGTGGTCCGTAGATCGCAGATTAAGAAACGCTATATTAAGACGTTCTACGTTCTAATCCTGATCGGAGAGGGAATTTAGATACATTTCGACTGAAAATTCCTTTATGAATCAACTTTTTTAAAAGGATATAAGACATCATACTTTCTTTCAGTTAAATAACACTTAAAAAACTCTTAGAAACTACACATGAAATGTAGCCTGATTTTGTACTAACTTTTAACGTCACATTAATTTTTTGTATCGCAGAAAACTTGTAGAGACATTAGGTTATTTCGAAGCAGGGAAGATGAAAAATGAGCAATGCCCTCACCGGGACTCGAACCACGGACCTCTCGAATACGCGTCGAGCGTGCTGACCACTACACCACGAAGGCATGCTAAGTATGCGGGAGAAATACCTTATGTACTTCCCCTTTTAAAGGGTGACTAGGTTTTAGGGGACCCAGTCGCCAAATTCTGGTGGTGAAGAATCATCATTCACCACCTTTTAGTTCGGGCGCACGGTAGGGACTTAAGGTTATTTTGAAGCAGGAAAGATGTAAAATGAGCAGTGCCCTCGCCGGGACTCGAACCACGGATCTCTCGAATACGCGTCGAGTGTGCTGACCACTACACCACGAAGGCATGCTAAGAAAGCGGGAGAAATACCTTATAAAAGCTGTATCTTCTAACATTTTCTTGAGTCAGAAATAGTTTAGAATATATAATCTGTGAATCTAGAAAATATAACTGTTTTTTACTCCATCGTTTCATAATGTATAATAATTAACAGCATACTAAACTGAGTAAGTAACTTAAATAATTAATAAATCCTTTTTTTAAATTCTAATACTTGGAAAAAGAGATTAAATTATTTATTTTTCGTATCGTGTCTATGCACAACAAATATCTAGGTCCCCTGTTTTCTTTTGCAGGGATTAAGCACGTCCTTTTACTTATTTCCACTTTTTGTAATTAGTCACGCAATAACACAGTTCCCACGATATTTGCATAACAATGAGTATAATTTATCATGAATGAGTTACAAATGCTAAAATAGCCAATGGATTAGATTTTAATTACTAATTAGTAATTTCACATGCAGCCCTTGTATTTCCTACACTCGAAAGATAAGTCAGTTATTATTAAAATAAATCAACCACTTGTTAATAAAGATTTTACTTTTAGGCCCAAAATATCTAGAATCAAAATAAATAATGCAGCAGAGGATTACTGATTTTAATTATCTTTACAGTCCTGCTTCAAACATTCACACTGACACTTTATGTATTTTGTCAGCCTCTGTGTCATGTTTGTTCGGATTCTATTTAATATAACAATCTGCGTAATTGTCTGTAATTTTGGAATTAAAGGGAGAAAGATCCCATATTTCAATGTCTACATTTTGCCCTCTGTAGCTCCTAAAATGTAAAATATATATAATTAAGTTCAGATAATAAACACATCTGCTACTCTCATCCTATAGTGGTGCTACTGCTCCCAACTTATGGATGTAGAAGCATGGCATTGAGTTAATGACGAATTATTGTGCGGATAATTTTAGACGTCCTTTTTCAGATTATTCATTGATGCGTATCCTAATACGCAGAAGCTGTTATCCTATTCTAGCGAAATGCATTACAATTAGTTTTTAGAAAAAAAAAAAGTTAAAAGTAATTAATTGTCTTTGCCTTCTTAAACCCCGCTGTGAATCATTTAATGCATAAATTCTATATCTCTAACATTCACTTTGCATTTTTGGACTGCATTCGCTGTTGTTTAATCCTAGGTTTATAAGCCTCGATCACAACTAAGAGCGGAAACTGTGGTAGCTTTATTTGTGAAGCGCTCTTAATAGGTGGGTCACTGTGTCCTCCCACGAAGGAATGGGTAGATTACATCCGTGCTTTCTCCAGGATTCGAATCCGGGCCTTTCGGTACACAGTTAGAAACACAAACCACTTTCTCGTCTGAGCGGATATTATGTCATATATATAATGCCAGATATTTAGCTGTCATCTAAAGAATAATTAAGTTAATGAACTAAGCTAAGGAATTAATAAATTTAAGGAATATTTTGTGCATCAGGTGCACAGTAAACTTCTATAATAAATTCAGATTTCTGACTCTGATAAAGATCCTGACTAAATTTTTAAAACATTTTCGAATTTTTTTTGTAGTAGGAGTTATTTTATCTTATGTACCAGTTATTTCTGGGCTAATTACTTCTTTCATTTTGCAGAACCTGCCGAAACTCGTACACAGATCCGAGAAATGCTAACGAGCGGAAATCTAGAAGCACTTGAAGAGCTGGTGCTCCAAGGACACGGGGATAAGCTCTTGGGAGAATCTTCTAATAATAATCTTGTTAGAGACTTTATCAGAATGGTTCCTATTTACATGGTAAGAAGTAATATTTATGATTTATTAAACTTTTAATTAAAAGACAAAATTTAATTCAGATGATACTTTATCCATAATATATTATCAGAAAAATGCTAACGTCTTTAATACATTTAGATATTCTCAGGGCAGTAATAATACAAGCGGTTAATTTTGATGACAAATAATTAATATACTTTTGAAAAGCATCGATCTTACCATATAATTATCTTCTGAATCTGAAACTGGTTGTAAATTCTTTCTTTTATATATAATATTGTAAAATATTTTGGTCTTACTGTTAGTAAGGCCTTTACATCACAGTAGAGAAAACATAAGCATATCGAAAACTTTCTTAGACTTTTAACCTCGCTTTTCTCAGGACTTTTCTCAAAGACTTTATATCACTTTTCTCAAAGACCTTGTTTCACAAACTGGAGCTAATTCGAGTTGTAGTTTCGTCAACCTTAATTTAACTACGCTAGAGTACTCTTAGACTGTCTTTTCCTGTCGCTTCTTCAGATTAAATTTTATCGACTTTTTCTTCGAAAACATAGCATCCCAAAGCTTTGTATTTTTCATTTTATTTAGTAAACAACTCTACACAAAAATCATCTTCTATTATGCTGGTCCTCTGTACTTAAGCACACCCATCCTTTTAAGTTAAAACATGAAGATAACAAATCTGAAGGATATTTTAAAATTGGTTCATTTTTTTCAATTCCGTACCCGATGTATTCGTATGCTTACATACATCTTTGGTTTTATGTTTAAGATACCCGAATCTATTTCGCGCATCTCAAGCAAATCAATATCGACAACTGAAGTACGTTTTGCCCATTGCAATTTTTCTAGTTATTCTCTTTTTGAACTGTTTCACACGGAATTATATTAAACACAGTTTTTCAGCTAAAACTAATTGTCATCTCAATTTACCAGATCCAGTTTTGACTGCAATGCTTAATTCCCAGATCTATCAAAATGCTTAATTCCCAGATCTATCAAAATGCTACTTTAACAGAAAACGAAATAACTTACTACTGCGAAGAAAAGTGAGTGCGATTTCTTTCTTGATAAACACCGCTTACATTATGAAGATTTTCCTGATTAAGATTCGACTGAAGTTCTGTACCCTTAAATACAAACAGTGATAGATCGCTTTTCATAAATCTTGGGAACATTTAAAACGCATAGTAAGTTTTTAATGCATAATTCGTTTTAATTTCCAGATGCTTGCTGTCACTTCCTCTATTTCAATCGTTCTTTTAAATTTATTTTAACATCTTAGTTTGAAGTTATTAAAAACTGTAAGTCGATTTATTTTCTTAACGCTCCGTTTATTTTCTCATTCACTTTATTAAAAAAATGGTGTGATTTTTTTTTATCCCGGAAGTTAAATGCACTAAAACTTTACAATTTTATTCCAAGAAACAGAATTTTATTAAGCGCATTTTGACCACCTATTACCTGATCTAGAATAGATTATGTCCATGACATTCTGTCACAAGAGAACGGATAAGATGCCGATATCATTGTGGCCAAGTTACGGGCTTCTGTATTTGATCCATCATTCAAAGAAATTTCTATCAAAGACTGCATGATCTTCCCGAAATGTGATAAGACTTTGAAAACATCCTGTATGAAACTTCCTATCCTTCGGAACTTTTGAAATATCTAAAACCTATACGCCCGTAAGTTTGTATTTCAATTCTTTACCACTCATTAAAACTGCGAATATATTCAAACAATGAAAATGAAATATCTTGAGGGAATAAAAGAGAGCTTCCATTTCCTCTATTACAAAGCGACGTAATATAAATATAAAATTATATTTATCCAAGAAACATGCATTCTTTTTTTCAGCTGAACGTTACAATAGTTCGACGTGTTACTAATATTCACACAAATCGATTGTGTGTTTCCAACATGTAATTGATGCAGTTTGTTTTCATGCTGACCACATGCTGTAACTTTTAATTGAAGTTTTTTCTTTCTTTTGTGATTGTTCGGAAACTGTCCTGTCATAGATTGAAAACAAATTAACAGCTTTTGTTTCATAAATCTCTTCTAAAGTCTGAATAATTTTAAGTTACATCGGCGAAGGGATTCCAGAAAGATTTAAGTAAGATAATTAACTCTTACCATATTTTGATAAATGTCTAAAATAAATTTTATTGATAGTACTCTCCTATGTGATTAATATTTAAATAAAGAAGTAAGTAGATAGGTGGTACCCCCTTCAATAAAACTTGATGTATAGTTTGGGATAAAATACGCAGAGTATGATCATAAAAATAAATGGGGCAAGAGAAAGTACTTTGCGGGAAAATAAATGCATGCTGAAAGTAGCAGACCAATTTGCAATAAAAAAATTTCTTGGTAATTTTTCCTTTTTTTCCTTAATAATAAATTCTCTATCTGTTCACGAAACAGAAAAGCGGTGTGTTGAAATAAGTCGATAATTTTATTCGACTTGTTATTACTTGCTCCATAGGAGAGGTATAAATTTGACAAATTTTAATTAAGGGAAATTTAGTTTAGTTTAGTTTAGTGACGGAGGACGTGGGCACCACCCCTTTACCATTATGGTTAATTGGTTTAGCGCGACGTCCACCCTTATCTAAAGCTGACTCATGTTAGAGCCACACGAGATCCACTCATAGGGCACAAATAGTGTTACAAAACATAGATATTAAAAATGGTTACATCTTTGTGAACACGGTACTTATGAACAAAACTTTAGCAAGTGACACATAAGATTACAATTCAATACCCTAGCAAGTAATTTTAGCAAGTTACATATAAAGTTTACAATTCAATACATAAAGAAGATATATCATACATAATGATTATATTATACTGTTGTGATTGATAAGTGACGACATTGTCAACATGAATTTACTAATGCAAAATTCAACATTTAAACTCAGTATACAAAAACCCAAGAACATACAAATGCTTATATTTCATACATTGCCAACTTAAATTTATAGTGGAGAAGTATAAAAATGCTTAGATCTCACATAAGTCTCTAATTATTCTGAATGTCATTGTTAACTTTTATATTACAGCTTACTACTAAAGACACAATTATTATATTAAAATTGGATATTAATACAGTTAAATGAGTAATTGCACTTAGACTATAAATACACTATAAAAACATTAATTCTTTACAATTTCTAAAATGCAATGATTCAAAACAATGATTATATGCGAATATTAGAACAATGATTCACTATAAATATACAATGATTCAATACTATTACTTAAATTAATGATAATACTATTCATATTATTAATCATATATGCCATGTTGAAATCAAAATAATATTTTTTTCCATACAGGTGCTTATTACTGAAATGATGTTACATATTACTAGCAAGCAATTCAAAAATAAGATATGTACAGTACAATTTTACTTCCACATTGGAAATACTATACAAATAAATAATTCAATACAATGATTCCGTACGATTACTCATGAATAATTCAATACTATGATTCTATAGGATTATTCAAATGCAATGATTCAATACAACAATTCTATGCGCTTATTAGAACAAAAATCTATATAATTATTCAAAATTTCAATATTATTGCTCAAATTAATAAAAATACTATTTATATTATAAACCTCACTACCCAAGTGACACAAACATTTAAATTACACCATTAATTAATCATTACAGCAATGATACTACATGTTACTTGAAAGCAGTTAATTATAAATTATGTACTGTACAGTTTTACCTTGCACACTGAATATTATAAATAATGTAATGATACAATACAGTGATATTATACTGCTTCTTTAGACCATGTATCAAAGCAATAATTATATGCAGTGACTGAGGTATAAAGATTACGATACAAGTATTCAGTGATTTAATATATATATTCAGATTTGTAGTAATACTATATATGTTATTAATAACATTTAAATATATGGTATAGTCATTTAAGTACCTATTATAGTACTGATGTTACATTTACTTGTAAAGAAATCAATTGTTAAATATGTACAGTACAGTATAACTTGCACTTTATTTGTTCATTACAATTCAGTGATTCAATAGAATAATTGTTTATGATTACTAAAATATAATAATTTAGTACAGTGATTCTATGCATTTACTAAGTACAATGATTAATCATACCATACCAGTTAACACAATGATGCTATAAAACAATACAATTATTCTTATTCAATATGATTACTCTATTTAGTAACAGAACTATTCCGCTATCAATTATACTAGTTAGGTAAGCATTAAAAGTAATAACCTTATCATCTATACAATCATCAATACGATTACTCTATTACAATGTTTCAAAACTATGATACAATATATTAATACTATACACAATTTCTCTGATACAAAACGATTACTGTACTAAAATAATTATTCAGTATAAATGTAGCCGAGGGAGTTCACATAAAGGGATAATTCTTATTTTTTTTTTTTTTTTTTTGCATTAGTTTTAGCACAGTTCAAAATAGTTTATTTTATTATATACTTTAGAGACATATATAAAATTAGATTTGACACAAGTCAGTGCCGAAGTCCATAAGTTTATTAACAATTTTGTTAATCTTTCGTACTGTATGCTTGTTATTAATCATGAACCTGCTAAATGTTTGCTCATTCGTTGGCGGGATCAGCAGGTGCAAATCAGTTGTTAGTGGGCAGTTAGCTACATAATGTTCAGGTGTGCCCAACTCACCGCAAATGCACTGTGCCGTATTTGTAATGCCAAACCTTTCAAAATATACAGGAAAATAAGGGAAATTTAACATGAACCAAAAGTATCATCGTTATATGTTAACAGACGTATATTATAATTTCATTTCTTAACACACTGATTAGCCCACCAGCGGCCGAGCGGTAAAAGCCGCTGAACACTGGTAGTTCGTTTCGGGGTTCGAGCCCCGGCGAACGGGCTGGCTGCATGGGCGTTTTCGTGGTTTTCCCCATGTGTAACGTGGATACGAGCCAGTTTCCTTTAAAAAGACCTC